CGGCCGCACCGTTCTCAAGCCCGCCGCCTCTGCACACTCTAGCCCCTGGCCTCTGCTCACTGTAGGCCGCCGTTTGTGACGCTGTGTTTCGCTGTGAAAGCGAAACTACTTTGTTTGGCCTTCCAAAAATGGACACGACTAGAAATCAGTGGTTAAGTTTAAAACCAACAACAAAAAAGAGATATTTCCAGGTGTTTGCACTAATCAATTGTAACGTTTAAGGTGAGAAAATCATTCATTATTTCTTAGCCTTGAATATCACCAACCGTCCCGGCATTATTTAAAATTGGAATTTCTCTGGATTTACAAATCCTTGGGAACTTTTGGGATAACGTAAGTACACAACTGCATGAAATATATAGCACTGTGCAAGTGTTTTTTGGATATTTTATTATGAATATCTTACATATTGTGCCTTTAAAAGGTAAAAAAAACGTTCAAAGTCATGTTTTGTATTTGTTTTAGTTAAAATGCACTTGGGTTCTGACATATTTAAAATCACCTTCAAGTGAATGAAATGTTTCACCATAAAAGCATAACCAAAGTTGTAACTTTCCTTGTAGCTGTTTTGAGATTATTATTATTATTAATATCATTTTGAAAGAACATCATAAAGATCTGAAAGTTCATGGATAAATCAACTTCTGTTCTCCATTAAAGTGTGAGCCACCTACAGCAGGTTAAGGATCCTGTTCGATAAAAAAAAAAAAATTCCAGTTGTTAGTTCATGTCACAGTTTGAATAGTGTTTATGCACGCAATGTTTTATAATTTCTGAATTACTTAATTGTGTAATTGGCATTATATATTTTTCTCCAATTAATGGTGAGGTTTTAGTTAAGGCGTTGATGTGAAATATAATAAAGATTAATCACAGTTAAGTAATTTTATGTCTTTAAAACTAAATGACTGTCTTTGGTGCAGCAATTTTATTAACATTATAAGTGCACTGCGCCTCAAGGGAATATTCAAATAATTTTAAAAGAAATGGGAAAACTAGTTATACAGCTCTAAGAAAAAAGTAGTTTCCACAGTGAACCACAGAAACACCATGCTGTTGCAAAAAGGACATAGAACATCATCTGACTGAGATGGAATGTAAACGGTACGTCCTTTATGTTTATGAAGGAGGGTCTATACATACAGTAAGAATATAAGGAAATGGTTGTCTTTAGAATAGCAGGTTTGATTTTGTCTTCTCCCAAGAAGGTGTTGAATGATTCAGTATTGTTTTTAGTATAACGCTTTTGCTATGTGCTCTGGCATGTAGGGCTGAACAGATTCCAGAGGCAGTCAGGTGATTTTCTTTTGTACAGTTGGAAGTCGTAAATGTTTTGGAGTTTACTTTTTGCTACTTTATGTTTTGGATTAATCGGCTTGTATAGAGTTTGTGTTCAGTGAATATAATGTGTCTTTAATGTTGTATACAGTGTATATTTAGAGTGCATCTTCAGTTTTGTTTTATTATTTTGTTGTTTTTTTAATACAGTACATTAAGCTTTGCTTTTATTTAGATTAGATTAGATTGAACTTTATTGTCATTGCACATGTAAGGTACAAGGCAACGAAATGCAGTTAGCATCTAACCAGAAGTGCAATAAGCAGAAAGTACAGGATATACAGTGTCTCCAATATGTTACAAATGTACAATAAATATACACACAGCAAATTACTGAGTAATAAAAACCTAGTGTTGTGCAGCTAGTGATAAAATCAGGTGTTCATTTACAAATATTAAATGCTTTATCACTTGTTTAGTGATAATGCACAGTGTTTCCTTTGGGTGTTCACATATAATCAACATCTGCGCATGTGCAGAGCATTTTCGATCTTCCCGCCCATCCTACGCGCTCTTCTTTATGGATTTGCCTGCACAACGGTTACAAGGTATAGTATTATTAATTTATCAACTTGTGATTTTATTTATGAATGTGTATCATCACTAAAGCAAATTGTATTTGTTTTATATTATACTGTTTGTGTGAAAAATAACTTATTATTTGCCTCATTTTACCCAAACATTGACACGGTCAAAGTTATGATTATTTCTAATTTATCACAAGATTAATACACAAAGTCAACATTGCATACTCTTCTTTAATTAAGTAATAAAATAAGTATTAAATTATCATAATATCGATAATCAGTAACGTATATGGTTGACTTAACTCTGTCAGCATTTTTTACCTCAGTTTAATTTCGCGCGCTTTTGATCCGCCGTTCAGTCTTGAGTTTACCATTTCACGGGTAACGTTAAACTAAGATGTAAAAAATCGTAGGTCCATATTAAAGGATGTTTTAACGTTTAGTAAATGACAAGACTGACACGGTAATTTTATTCCACCACCCCCCCACCCCGTAGGACAGCACCATGTCTGAAAGTGAAGCGGTGAGAAGTTACTAAATTCGTTAATGGAGGACGATGGAGATAGACGTAAGTTCATTACCATTGTGCTCATTTTAATTGTTGTGTTAAATAATGTAGCAGTTTAAGCATTTTCTGTGTTATACCAACATTATGCGAAATTTTGAAACTGACATGATTTGGATAGTTAAACTTAGTTTATTTGTCATTTGGTGAAAGTATCTTTTATAGGGTTCCCAACATTTATAATTCCGTTTATATCTTTCATTCCGTAACTACGGGTTTAATTCTGGTGTTTTGAAATGT